GGCTACATTGTCAGTGAGCACGACCATGTCGCCCGCGGTAATCTTTCTCTTCCACATGAAGACGCTGTCTGCGCAGAGAAGTCCCTTGTCCCTGAAAGAGAGCTTTTCTTCCTTCGTGGCCTCTTTATCGGGTTTCCCCAGACCCCACTCGCCCATGCCATATCTCTGACTGGCCTCGGCGTTGCGCAGAACCAAACGAGTAAGCATGGATCTCTGCAAGCGGAGGGAGTCGCCGCAGCAACCTTCCAAGCAATCAACGAGACCATGTTTGATTTCTTGGTGCTTCTTTTCTTGAATGGCGCAGTGCGGCAAGAACCGCAACTGCTCGCAAGCGCTGGGAATGTGAAATCTGTGGTGATGCTTGGGCCGCACGAGGTCGTCGCCCCAAGCTCTCCGGAACAGCTCCTGGTGTTGGCTTTGAAGGCGTCTCAGCTTCTCAACCTGTTTGGAATCAAGCGGTGTGATCACATAAGACAGCCGTCGGAGCTCTGAGCAGATCTGCTTCAAAACAAGAAATGAGTCTCTGGCTGCAGCGTCTGCAGATAAGTCGTCTGTGGCAACGTAATATCCAAGTAAAAAGACAAGGCTCCAGCAATCGTTTCCGTCGCCTTTGAAGTTGAAGTAGTGTTGGGTGTCCCACAGTTTCTCGTGAAAGAGAGACCTGAGGGTGCCCGCCCTGAAGCGAGCACCCTCTCCACTGCGTCTCCAGCCAGCTGTCTGAGCCGCACTCCAGACGGCTGTCAAATTGACCCCGCGTTGCTCGTAGACGCGCAGCACGCAGCCGAGCTCCCACGAGGCAACTCCGTTGCAAAAGTAGTCACGCAGTACCTCGTTGCGCGCACGGCTAGGAGGTAGGTGCTGCCGACCGACGCGGCAAGAGGTGACGGCGCTGGGAACCCAGCGGAAACCCAAGGCTTTCTCGTGCAAATCTCTTTCTGCTGCTGTCATGCCGACCATGGAATCCAAGCAAGCAAAGGTATCCGCACCTTTGTCCCAGTCCCGCGGACATCCGCGGACGTTCCGCGGACGTCGCCCAAAAACCCTAAACGTACATGACATGAACGCGACATAGTGCTGCCTGACTCTCCTTTTTCTTCGCCGCGACTGTGTGCGTTCTGTGTCCGTCAGAACGTGAAAACGAAGCTGTTGTCTCCTGTTCTGCGTGCGTGGATGCGACCTTTGTCAGTCGCACCCTTGTGGCCGCCGGCCTTCTCTTTCGTCTTCTCGGTCTTAGCGATCGACTTGACGCTCTTGACGTTCTTCTCATCCGTCTTGCTCGAAGAAACCTTCTTGTGTGTTTTCTCTTTGTCCTGAGAGAAATGTTCATCACGGGTCTTCTGAGTGACTCGGGCCCCGCCTCCGTCCGCAGACGGCCGCATGCCCATCCAGTGAGATCCCAAGACGGACTCCGGGTAAAACGCCCAGAATCTATCCTGGCTGGGCGCGTATCCCCACTGTCCCCACTGCGCTGGACTTTGCCAAGTCTGGCGCGCCTGATCCATGCGTGGGCGCGTCTGTTCGGGTCCGCGCTGCCGCGCTTGAGCCTGGCTGTGTGCGTGGCTGCGGGGTCGTATATGTGTATATGTGCGCGCGCAATAGACATCCACCTGAAGTCTGTATATACAAAATATATCAGTGTCAGACGAATCTCGAAGACTTTTTCGACCTCTGCGCCGTCGCAGATATCTTCTTACATATATATATAGCGTCCGCTCAGGCGCGGCCTCAACTAAAGGTGAGCATGATGGAGCGCGCCCCCATCCGCGTGACCTTCAGGCCACGGCCAGGGTTTGCGTCCGCGGACGACGTCGAGGGATCCCGGCGGCGAGCGCGCGTCCTGTCACGTGCGCGCGGACTCGGCGTGGGGCGCCTCTTCTTCTGTTTCTTCTGGTCCGGCTTCTTCTCTAGCTTCTGCCCAGGCTTCTCGTTCTTCTCTGTCTTCTTCTTGTCCTCTTTCGGTTCTATTTTCTCGGGCCCTTTGATCTTTTCAGTCTTCTCGATGTCTCCCTCGAGGGCCGCTGCTGCGTTCTGCAGCGGAGCCGGCGCATGACTAGGTCCCGCAGCCCGAGCAGGCGCGCTCGCGGCACGGGCGGGACAGCTCGCCGCGCGCGCTGCTGGCTTTTCGTCCTTCTTGTCCCCGCTTCGCTCAAGCGCGTCGTAGTCCTGCCAGTTCAGCCAATCGCGCCACTGTAAGCAGGTCGGGTCTGTGTTCTCGTGTCGCCGGAGGGTCTCTGCGTTCCCCCGGAAGGTCTGCCAACAGGTGGGGCATTGGATGTCTTCGGAAGAGATCTCGCTGCTGCGCGGCTTCGGTTTGGCTTTCACCTTTGTGAAAGCATCATTCCTTCCTCCATCCGGCCTCGGTTTGGCCTTTGCGTGGGCTACAGGCGCCGTCATCTTCACGCTCTCTGACTCGGAGTTGGTCTGGTTAGCCGTCCAGTCCGCCTCCTCTCTGCACGGCGAGCCTCCTCCGCCGTTCGGCATGGCTGTCGGTGGAGGCGAGGTCGGGTGGGTCGCGCCGGTCTATTTGCAGCTTGGGGCCTCTGACTGCAGCCGCGCATCAGAAAACAATTCAGCAGCAAGCACACGACAGCTATATACACACATCTATTATTATATGTATCAAGAAACAAAATCCACACAGGCGTGGCGTTCTTTGTCCAGGGTTCTCTATACATCGAGCGAAGGTGGTCGGATATATAAGTTGCCCGGCGTCTCCACGCGTCGTCTCGTGGCCGCGTGGCGGAGTCCCCAGACAGCCGATCGCGCGCGAGCGCGGGAACGCAGAGTCCCCCGGTCTCATGTCTGCTGACGGCGCGCACAGAACTCGTGGCTCTACATGCGCGGGTTGGCTCGTGCGCGGGAATTGCGCAGTGTCCCTGTGGAAACTCGCAGTTCCCTGCTGCGCGCCCTCCGAGGAAACACGCAGTCTCCTGCATATATCCTCTGCGCACGCGCTGCGCCGGCGCATACGCAGTTGCGCGGGGTGACCTGTCTCTTCTACACTGGGAACACGCAGTTCCCGGCTCCAGAGAACACGAAGTCCTGCTAA